GTTGAACGGTAAAAGTTACAATTTTTTTAATGCTTAAGTTTTTCGGGGGGTATTCTGTGATTTGTTTTTTTTTTTTCCTCTGAGCAACAGCCAGTGCCAGAAAGTGTCAGTTTTGATTTGGTATCGTAAACTTCAAAACACGCCGAGTGAAAAAAATCAATCAATCGGAAATACAAGAAATCCGGAATACAGACCCGTGGCAGCGCCCGGCTTCTGCCAAACTTGTCTGGTCCACTGGGACCCGGAGAGAATTGTGTGGAGGGTTACTGGCTGCAGCAGAAATTTAAATTACTTTGACGAGGAAGAGAGAACCTCTCCGAGCTGTTGCGGGGCATAGAATCGCAGGCACGTCCCACCGCGCTCCCCGTTCTGCAGGTTTGAGGTTGAGCTTGGGTTTGCGGGTTTTATCGGCCGCAGTTTCATTTTCAGCGCAAGGAGTGCACGCTGCCCGGCTGGAAAAGGAGCCCCGGCTGCGAAAGGGAAGAGTTTGTGCTCCAGGCTGCGGGCTGAGCCTCCGCGGGGGCGCAGATGGCGGCCCTGGGGCAGCGCTTGGGGCAGGACGGATCGGCCGGTTCGCCCTGCGGCCACAGGAGAGGCTGTCCCTGCAGAACGCGGGTACGGACCTGCACGGACTTGGCGGGAAATGCCCGCTCTGCCCTCTTGGTCTGCACCAGCCCAAGACTCTTCTACTTCCTCACGCCGAAAAACTTCCTGATGGACAAGCGAAGGTCACGGCTAGGTTTTAATTTACGAAACTAAACGGGTGTTAATGACAGAAGCAATAAATAAGGAAATTCAAAAGATGCCATAATTTATATGGGCCGAAAGGCTAAGATTTTGTCGATTTTTAATTTCTTTTAAATCTAGTGTGCATGATATGATATACACAGGGTGATCAGACACGCTAATCAACAACTAGGAGAGAGGAGCGGTAACCTCTCTGTTAATGTGCCTCGTCTAATTATTAAAATGTGTTCCAAACTAGTATTATTTATTATAATATACTATTGCTCTAAACATTTTGATTACCCTTGTGTGTGGTAAGACACGATAAGCCTATTTCTCCATAAACCATTTTTTGAAAATGTGTCTTGAAGTCAGCTTTTACTTTGTGTTGGAAATACAATCTGAACTTCCAAACTGTAAACGATGTTGCAAATCTTTTCCTGAATCTTTAATAAAACTATTTCTTTTCGCTGTATATAAAAAGAAAGAAATTCGCCTTCTTTTGCTGCAGGGGGTTTCACGGGCTCCGGATTTGCCTGGGATCCTCTCAGGGACACAGGACGCCGTTCCTGGCAAATGAGAGGTAGATAGAATGAGACGCGTATTAAAGGATGGGGAAAAGCATCGGAGAGTGCCTTGTCGACAGAAAAGGGTTTTAGTGAGAAAGAAATGTAGCCGGCGAGAACCACAGGGCGTGGGAAGCAGACGAAAGGCTGTGTCTCCCCTCTCCCTCCGAGTCCTGCCCCGGTGCCTGGCGGCCGAGGGCGGCCCGCCGCCCTTTGTTCTCCATTTCCAAACCGTCCCGGCCCTTGCCGCTTCCCCGGCGGCCGGCCCGGAGCGATGCCACTCTGTTTTCTCCGCAGCCGGCTGGCTCCATCGGGAGGTTATCTTCCGCCTCCTCCTCCCTCTTCCTTCCCCTTTCTACTCTCCTCGCACGTTCATGGCGTTTGTTTTCCCTGAAAGGACGAAAAAAGTCCATTTCTGAGCAGTTCAGATTTTATCGCAAAGCGCATTTTTGTTTAATTCTAGTATAAAAGGACACTTGTGCTGCTCATCATTTACGTGCCTGGAACAGCCCTCTCTGCTGATGCAACCTTCTTTTCTCCGAATGTTTTAAATTCTTGTCTTCTCCCCCTTGGCACCCCCACTCACCCACGCATACTGCCATTAATTCTACAGAGGTTTTTCCTCCCACCGGGTCTCCCCGCAGCCGGCCGGGCACTGCCAGAGCTGTTTTATTTCCTGGCCGCGGAGCCATCGCGGCCCGTTCTCTCCCTCCTTCCAGCCTTAACCTTTGGCTTTGCCGGGCTCCGTGCCTTCAAAAGGCGCAGTTTGCCGAGCCAAAGCCGCCTTCCTCGGGCAGAAGGAAACCCGAACTGTCTGGCAAATCGGTACCAGATGGAGAGGAGTTGCCTTATAGTTTCGTAAGAACGTGCAAAATCATTAAGAAGCCAACAGCTACAGGCAGGAGGGAGATGAGACGCACATCTACCCCCCTACCTACCGGCTGAGCTCCAGTGCCTGGAGCTGGGGCATTGGTGAGCCTTGTTCAAGCCCTCCTTGGCCTCAGCTTGGGCTCCTCAGGACATCAGCTGCGGGCAGCCCCGGGGCCGGGCAGCGGCCGCGCAGCCCCAGCTGTAGGCGGCCACACGGGCCCGTGTTTAGAGAAAAGGGTATGATGGTTCGTCTGAAATGTAGCGCACCTTATTGCAGATCATTAACATGTACCTCGACAAACCCAATTGCAAATGCGCGGTGGCGCAGTGCTGCATCGCCGGGCTCCTGTCAGGCAGCGCTATTTCCCAGCCATGTCTGAGGCAATCCTGCCATCTCCTGGACAGCCCCCGGCATAGGCAGGGAAACCTCCTGGACAGCCCCCGGCACAGGCAGGGAAACCTTCTGCAACGGGCGCCGCGCCTCCGAGTGATGATGAATGGGCGACGGAGGCTGTTCGGTCGCACGCAGAGCACCCTTCGTCTGCAAACTGGAAGACTGTGCCAGTGAAATTATAGCGTGTGGTCAGCTCTGATGTCCAGGCCTATCCGGACGCCTGTTTAAAAACCAGGGAAAAAAAAAAAAAAAAAAAAAAAAAAAAAAAAGAGCGGAAAAGAGGAAAGGAGCGTGTGAAAGCAGGCCTCCGGGTCGCCCTGTTCCTCAGTGGTGATATTTCCTGTACAGACACAGGCGGGGGGACACCCGAGGCATTAACACGCCGCCCCCAAAGCAGCAGCTGGCTGTGGCTGGAAAAAGCAGCACAAGCCCGTACGAGGCTCTCTTTCCACTCCACCCCGCTCGCCTCGGCTCCGAGGCCAGCCGCCTCTGGAACATGATGTTTCTGTAAATGTTTTTCCATGTAGATTTAAACATTTTCCGTAACTGTGTCTCCAGCTATTTCAAGTTTTTATTATGCTCTTTTTTATTTTCTTCCTTTCTTTTTAATTTTTAAAATTAATTAGCAATTACTAATGAGTTGAATATTAATTGAAAGCTCTGTTTTCTCTAACCCCATAAAAGTTAGTTTGAAGTGTCACCTTTCTTTCCGGTAACTGGGAACTCACATCCATTCCTTGTGTTTATTGCGGACAAAAATACAGCCTTTGAACTGAATGTTCCTTTTCTCTTCCAAGAACCGAAAATCATCTGTTTCGTAAAAGGCAGTTATGAAAAAAAAAAAAATATTGCCCATCTTCTTAGGGAACACAAAGTTAGAATACAAGTCAGCTAATAAGAGGGAGATTCAATTGGTAGACATAATTCAAACAATAAAAATTAAAGGCAATGGTCAGCAATATCCTCCAGCGGTGCTTGTGTGGTCCTGTGTGGTCTAGGAGAGAGCAATCATTTAAAGATTTTTTTTTTCCAGGGCAATGAAATTACTGCAGAATTTCCCTCAATTTCCCATTAAACACAAAGATGAATTTGATTAGGACAATGTCAAGAAGGGCAGCGTCTCTGATCTCGCCTTAGAAATAAAACCAAGATTAAAACTGTGATTAAGAGGATAATAACAGGGAAAATTAACCCTACATGCTAACTAGGTTCAAGTTTTTAACCGAGGTAATGAAAGTGGAAAAGTCCGGGCATTAAGGCTTCGCTTGATGCCGGACTCGCACACACCGGGGGAGATCTTGGGAAAGAGGCCGAGGAAAGGAACGCCCGGTCCAGGTGGCGGATCGGCCTCCAGAGCGTCCCGCGGATCTGTGAGGTGGTGGGAGCGCGGAGCCCATGGGTCCCCCACCCCTTCCCGAGCCTTCCAGCCCCCTGCCAGGGCCTTCGGGTGCAGCACACGGGGCCTTGCCTCTGCTCTGTCTCACGAACAGCATGGTTCGGGAAAGGACACGAGCAACCTCCTGTGAGGATGCTCTCAGATATGATTTTAATAACTCTGGGGCTGTGGGGAAATGAGAGAGATAATGGAATATATGGGCTCTTGTTTGATCAATCAAAAATATAAAAATATGTGTAACTTCCCAAAATAACACAGTAATACAAGAGTAAGGGATTATTTTCTTCTCATTAGAGGAAAAACTCCTCACACACAACCTGGGAGATGAGGCTGACTCTCCCTTCTGCCCGCTGCTGCATTCACACCCTCCCTGCTGAAGAGCAGACCCTGGCATTTTCTTTCTTGAAGTCTTCCGATTTTATTTGTTTGTTTGTTTATTTATTTAATCTCAGAGGGTTGCCCAGGTAATTCCGTGTTGTTGCTCTTGTTATCCTCTGTTTGTTGGTGTTTGTTTGATTGTATTTCAAAGACAAAACAGATTCCGAGTTTTAGAAGCGTTGTTTGCCTATAAGCGCTTCCAAGTGAAGATGAAAGGCAAAAGGGGTAAAAAGGGGTAAAAAGGGCAGACGTGCGGACCTAAGAGAATACTGGCCATTGGTGTGCCAGAATGAGGATCCCGGTAATAGCCGATCGATTAAGACTCTCTCTATTTGCACGCATATGCAGATGCATATCATGCAGTTAAGGGCACAAGCACCTACGTATGCCCTAAACATCCACATCTCATAGCCATCACGAGTTATTTGCAGTCCTCGGTGCTCACTCTTACCGTGGCTATCGCTCTGGCCCGGAGGGTGCTGCCAGCCGGGGGACACCGCCGGCACGGGGGCTGCACCCGGGGCTGCCCTGTCCTCTCGGCAAATGTTTGTTTTCCGCTCATCTCTCCACTGGCGCCGCAGCTCTGCCAACCCGCCCCGGCCACTTTTATAGAAGCAGAGACCATGGTTTCCCCTCCCCCTTGCGAGCTCGATATTTTCATATTTCAAGTGTTATCATAAGACTTTTTAAAAGTGGGGGTGAAGAAAAAGAAAAAAAAAGGGTGGGGAGGGGGGACTCTGTGGCTCGGTCGCTGGAGGCGGTGCTGAAATTACCGGCTTTGAAGAACCTGTCTGCAAAGTTTCGTCCAATCGTTTCAGGCTTTCCGCTTATTCCCTGTTGTAACTAAATACCGCTGTAAGAACAGCTGAAGTCCTTTGTTGGAAATGTGTGATCGCAGTCTCTACAGATCTGGCTACGTTGGTTCTCTCTTGAATTTGCAATCGCCAGATTCCTTTTATTTTCCTAATTTGCGGGCTAATGGCAGTCAATTGGCGGCTCTGCCCACCATTTCCTACCCCCGGAGCTCGATCCCCTGGACTTGCTCAAGTTCGTGCGCAGCCCAGCCGCAGAGCCACGCGTTCGGCGGCGCGGCGCAGCCTTACCTCCCCGGCTCCGTTCCAATCAACATCAGCTCCAACGGCAGCAAGGAGTGCCTGGAAGACAACAATAAATATTACGCCCACGATACGAGCTCCAAACAAGAGGAGAGATGCAGGCAGAGGCAATCTTTTGCAAATGACCCAACTGTTACTCACACAGCCAACTTAAAGCCCGTAAAGTATGACCACTCGAGCCTGCAGAGAAGTTTGCATAGCTCGGCTACTCTTTTTGAAGTGAATTCCTGCAATTCAAGCTTAAAGGAGGACATCAAGAATCCCGTCAACTTGAACCTGACAGTTCAGCCCTCAGCAGTCCAGTCATGCCTCAGACCTTCAGTGCAGGATGGTATGCCTTAAATATCTCGCTTTAGTTAGAAGCGACCTAGCTATACGTTCTTTTAAAGAGATGCCTGTAATTACTTTGTAACCCTCCCTGTAATTAGTTCGGAGCAAAAATCGCTTAATCTGACTCGGATGTTAGATAGAAATTGTGCTGTCAGATGTGCTTTGCCCAGTTTTCCGACCTAGTTTAGCTCTGATATCCTGCGGTTTTGGTTTTTTCCTATCTTAGGGTTTTGGTTTTGGTTGTTTTTGTTTTTGTTTTTCCCCATATTCCTATATTTGCATACCCAGACTTGATCCACTAAACTATCGACGTATTTGTTGTAGGTTTGCCTTGGTGCCCCACCCAGGGGAGATCAAGAAAGAAACGGAAACCATACACAAAACAACAAATTGCTGAATTGGAAAACGAGTTTCTCCTCAATGAGTTTATTAATCGACAGAAGAGGAAAGAACTATCAAACAGACTGAATTTAAGCGATCAGCAAGTTAAAATTTGGTTTCAGAACCGGAGGATGAAAAAGAAAAGAGTAGTAATGCGAGAGCAGGCTCTTTCTATGTACTAGAGCAGAGTCCGTCCGTTCCTGCATGAACTTGTGCCCGGAGTGTTCACCCCTAGAGTAGAGCGTACGCGCCAGAGAAACGCGGGGAGTGTGTCTTTTTACCATTTAAACCAAATTCTCGAAACGCGTAGGATCCCTGCGTAAATAGGCAGCGCTGAGTTCTTAGCCAAGATGAAGAAGACGAGCCGGACCAGCACGGAAACCTGTATTATCAGCTTTTTACCTTTCTTTCTCCATTTATATAGATTTTGTCCTGCATCCCACCCTCTCTTTCCCCGGAGAACAAGCGGTGCTAAACTAAGATCGATATCTGTTATCTGTATGTAAACACCATTTTGCAGCAAAATAAAGGAATAACGCCTAGTAAAGACGTCAGCTCTGTGAGTCCCGGCTGCTCCCTTCATCTGCTGCCCTGCACGCCAGGGCGAGCCTGCGGCGCCGGCTTGTTTTGTGGTTTGGAGTAACCTGCTCGAGCAGCGATGGGGAAAGTGGTTAGCAAATAAACCTTTTTCTTTAGTCTTTTTTTTTTTTTTTTTTCCCTTTCCACCCTCCCCCCGCCCGGAGCCGCAGCTCCGACCGTAGCCCGGCGGAGAGCGCACGTGACAGCCGCGCAAGGCCGCGTAACCTGAGCGCGGCTCAGCCGCGGCCGCTCGGCCCCGCTCCGCCGGCCCGGCCCGCCCCGACGGCACAGCCGGCCGGGGCTGCTGCTCCACGGGCACGGCCCAGCGGTTCCTCTCTCGGGAAAAAGCGCCCCTCTCCCCTCGCCGTGTGCCAGCCGCCCCCGGGCCAGCGCGGAGTCCCCCGCAGGGGCCGCGGGGTCGGGCGGCGGGGTCTCCCCAGGGCCGGGCCGGGCCCTGCCCCTGCAGCGCTCCTGACTTTGGCCTTGTCCAAGCGCTGCCCCGGCAGGCGGGAGGCAGCGGGCGGTGCCGGGACTGAGGCCGGGCTCAGAGCGGCCGAGGCGAGGCTGCGGCCCACGCCTCACCCCGAGGTGCTGCAGGCACAGGAGTCGGAACAACACGGAGGTTTTGGTGGGACCGATTGTTTCACCAGTCGGTCCTCGTGGCCGTTTCTGCATAGATTTGCATGAGGGAAAAGAGATAGTAGATTTGTATGAGGGGAAAGTGAGAATCGGTTCGGGGTTTTGCCCAGATAGAAACCTCAGAAGATAACCCAACCGAGGGACTGGCAGCAGTGTCTAAGACGTTTGATAACTGTTTTGGGATGAGAATTAGATCGATTTTTCCCGCATCTTGATGAGAGGCTTTCTCTGCCGAGAGCTGCCGGCCTCTGCCACACCAGGGCAGTCAGACTGGCCAGAGCTCCAAGGCCTGAGGAAATTACACATTGCCCCTAGTCTAATACCTCAGAATATGAATTCTAAAAGAAAAATCTCACGGATTTATAGGTCCGTATTAAAATGCCTTTTGGCTGCAGTTTCAACCTAAGTCTTCATTTCTTAACGAAGATCATTTCCACGGCTCCCAACAGTAACAATAATTGGGCTGGCAGAGGCTGCCTTCTTTTCTGCCTTGTGAAATATGCTCAGATATGGTTGTTTGTGGTGTATATAAAAAGTCTAAACAACCGCAAGGAACGTCACAAAACTGATGCCTACTTACACGGGGCTCTAGCCTTTCCAAAGGCAATAAACTTATTATTTCATAAAGAATCATATTTGAACTTTGCTCCTACTCACTCCTGTGCTTGCAAGTACTGCTCAAGAGGGCACGGTAGTCCAGATTAATTTGGAGCTAAATCCCGCATTCCTAGGCAGGCAGAGACGTAGCCATCTTCCCGAAAGCTTTCCAGGGAGCCCCAAAGGTAACGCTTGGGTGGTGTTTCGGGGGGAGAAGGAAAACCAGCCCGAAGCATTTGTCACCACTCTTACCGCCCGCATTGCCCAATGCAGACAAAACCCTACCTCGCTCATGACGGGGTGGCTGCCAGTAGGAAAGCGGGGACGGGGACGAAGCCTCGCCGGGTGACAGCTCCCCGGGGGCAAGGGATGCGCACCCAGCCATCCACAGCCACAGGAACCATTCCTGGGTCCCTCCAAATCTTGGTTACGTTCAGCCTCTGTGCTGGGAGTTGACGCATTGCGGACAATGATGGTCTCTTCATCCAGTGGCATTCTCTAATTAAAAAAACTAGGAGCAACCCCAATGATGCAAGCCAGGAGAAGAGCAAAAACCAGATAAAGCCCCTTTTCTTACCCTCTCCTGGAATACTACTCAGACGGCTACAGTCATGAGAGATTGACCCATTGCTCTGTTCTTCCCTATCCTAGTCCTCCCCAGTACAACCCGTCTCTGTATTACATGGGTGGTATGAAATCCGAAGAGGAACCTCGGATGGAAATATGTGAAAGGCAATATATTATTTATTAAACGCATCTGATCCACGATGATGGCTTATTGTGAAGCTCCTAGTCTAAATCGCCTACGGAAAGAGAAAAGGCAGAGGAGGTAGGATCTAAATTGCGGTTTGTTGAGAAAGTCTGTGTATCATGTATCTCTGTATGTGCTTGTGTATCTATAGAAGCACTCATTTCAGCAGTGCCCGTTGCGTGTAACCTCGTGTGCACACTCAGACGTACGTGTTTGTGGGCTCATACTGTGCACGGACACATCGGCGGCAGAAAATGGTGCATGATTTCACGCGTGCCCATACTCCAGGTTTCATCCCTTCCTCTGAAGCAGTGGGCGAGGACAGCGGTTCGGGCGTGGGGAGGCACACACGCGTGGCAGAGCTGCAGACGCGGGGCGCGCCCTGCCTGCGCGGCTCTGCCTGTGCACACCCACCCGAGCTGTCCCCTGGGCACATGTGTGCAAAGCGTGTGGAACACGCCGGCTGGGCACGCAGGAGATGCACCCGAGTGAGGTGGATGTACTCCACGCCCTTCCACTGGATTATTTCGGGTGTCTTATCAGGTGCCCCCGGTACCGGCTTTGCGGGTGTATGCGGGGCGGGATGGGGCGGCGGGCACACCCTTGCTGCGCCCGCGCCCACGTCCCTCCGCAGCATGAATGCGATGGTTCATCCCTTTATTTTCGCAAACATAAACATCTTTGCATTTCCACCGCAGCCTAAACATGATAAAGCCCTTCGAGGAGGCTCTCCGTCCCTCCTCTTTTGATAAGGCTGCAAACGCAACTTGGTTTGTTGGGAATGGCTCTGGATGCCTTTGTGCTTCCTAAAAGAGCATAAATAATTAAAGTTTGGCAGAGAGGAAAAGCTTTCTTGCAGAACTGTAGTGGCAATAAATGAAATGACTCAGAATCTCTTCTCCAGTCGTTTTTTACGAGAGCTGCCAGACAGTGTCTGTTCACGTTCTCCAGATACTAGGGGCGCCATAACAAAGTTAAGGTCAAGTTAGTGTCTTATCTTGGGTGGCACAAAAATACCGCATCTTCTCCAGCCGGACCGGGTATATTTTTAAGCCTAAACGTTACGCAAGTCGCCTTAATTTCCACGGAGAGCATACGGAAATGTCTCTTGGACCTGAATACTTGGTGATTCCAGGCAACGATTGCAGATGTTTCAAGACGCCTAACGGTAAAGTATTCGCCTGATTGTGTACATGATGTGCATTTATGTTTCGATGCTATTTAGTCTGTGTAAGGGGAAAAGGAAAAAAAAAAGGGGGGGAGGGGGGGTTGTTATTGTGCTGTTCAGAGCTGGGCTGATACCGACCCCAGGGTGAAAACGCTCTGGCAAACGGGGACCCCCAGCTCTGCCTTATTCCAGCGGGGTCTCTGCTGTGATATTGGTCTCACATTTCCCAAATTAGATCGTTTCTTAAAGGACTGTTTCCTAAAAGAGCTTTCATACTAACAAAACGTCGCCATGTCTTTGAACTTGAATTAGTTGAAACCGGTTGGCTCCTGCGCCAAAATTTAATTGATGCTAGCCTTGTTGCATCGAAAAGAAGGTGAAATATTCTGGCTAAGGCGCAATTAGATGTTTGAACGGTAGAGAAAATGAAGCTCCATAGGTTTCCAGAACCATCTCTGGTGACGAGATAGGCGATCAGAAACCTGGGGGGGGCACAATCCGAACGGAGCCCTGCCCTGCTTTGCTGCAAGGTCCAAGGCAATTAGTGACACAGGAGCCATTTTAACTGCGCAGACATCATTTTTGGGAGGTTGTTTTTTTCTGTTGCAGCAGAACCGAGAGGGCTTGGAAGCCGATTAAGGGAGGGAGTGATGGTTCTGTGCCTTGATTTCTAGTGATAATTTGCAACTTGCAAGTGTCTATCTGCTGGGTGCAATGTGTGGCGTTTGAGGTGTTTTGCGAGTGAGGCACCAAAGGAAAAAAAAAAAAAAAAAACACATAAAAAAACCAACTGTACAAAGAAAAGAGAAAAGGAAAGAAAGAGGCGGCGGTGGTGGGGGTGTTAAGAATGAGCTCCATAATATCTGCCTGGCTTTGGTCTTTACATTTTAGAAAGGGCTAACCCCTGGAAGCCCCTTGGGTAGCCCTCAACTTCTCTGGGGAGCCAGGGGATGCAGGAGGGGCAGTGGCGGTGGCGGTGGCGGTGGCGGTGGCGGTGGCGGTGGCGGTGGCGGTGGCGGTGGCGGGGCGGGGAGCAGGGTGCGGGGCGCAGCCCGGGTTGCGGGGCTCCCGCCCCCGCAGCCTCCCCGCACGGCGTAGCCGAGAGCGAGCAGGAGGCTCCTGCAGCAGCGGAGCCGAGCCCTCAGCGGGCACGGCCGCCTCGAGGAGCCGGGGAGCCCACGGGCCTTCTCCCCGCCTGCCCGGAGCTCCGTGGGGCCGGTTCCCACCTGCCGGGCTCTTCGCTTGCTGTGGGACCCGGAGGTGCCTTGTGGAGGTGACACGGGGCTTGTCGAGCCGGATCCTTGCCGGAGCCTCCGCCCGGGAATTGCTGGGGGGTCCGGAGGCGGCCGTGCGGGCCTGGGGAGCTCGCCCAGAGACCGGCTTTATTTGGAGAGCGCCATGTGATGCAGCTAACCTGGCTATGCGGTACAGTGGTGGAAAAAAAACATTCCCATGGAGAGCTGGCAAATGTTGCTGGAATGAGGAATTGGTCGAGTATAGGGCTATTGCTGGTGTATTTGTTATTCTCCTCTCTTTTCAACCTTTGCGGCCCTGTTTGTGCTTGTCTGTATAATATCATATTTTAAGGAAAAAAGGAAAATTGGCAGAAAAATGAGCCCTCGAAGGCAGGGCGGGAGCGGGGCTGGCGGCTGCCGTGCGTGTCGCCAGCTCCCAAGTCTTGCTTTTCCCTTCCAATGAAAATGAACATTTTGGTGGGAGTTGGAGGCAGGAGAACAGAGGTCACTTTGTCTGCTGCTCTGCTTCCCAAGGAAACTGTGCTTGGTGGACTTCTTTTCCTGCCATAGCCCTCTGCCTTATAGAGAGCCCGAAAGTATCTCCCTTTCGTAAATCCGGCTGCTGAGAGATGTTATGTCTGCGTGTTTCTCATTTCAGTTTGGCGCCCTGACACAAGTGCGCAGTGTTTGGGCTTATAAGCGAGGGAAAACGAGGTGATCGAAACTGAGGC